ATTTCTGAATCACTCTTTTGTTTCTTTTCACTCTTTTTAACCTCCATCGGTCGTCTCTCTCCTTGTTTCTTTGACACTTCTAACCGTTTCATTTGTTACCCCTTTCAACTCATGGTCAAATGTCTCAGTTTCCTTAAATCACTTGTTCTGCCCGATACCCTGAAGTGCCTTCTAATATCTTATTAATGTATCGTTTATGGTTTTGTGCAGAAGGAATGGAGGGAAAAAAGAGATGAATTCAAGAAAAGGGTCAGTCGTTGTGTAAGACGGTCACAAGATTTGTAGTAAACACAGAAATGTACCAACCCATTTTATGATAAAGCTGAGGAAATGGCATCGACGTTCTTTTGGCTGGATGTTCATTGCTACAAAGTGTAGCATTTGTCGACCGTTAGACATTGTGTATTGTGCCTTTCTGGTCTTGGGGGTTTTTGACATTTTTGTTGATCTTACTTTGAATGTTAATTGCCAGTTATATTTCTTGGAAAAACTTTATAGGTTACTGAACTTTGTGTTCTTTGGCTTTTTCTTTTTTTGATGTTATATCAAGCTTTATGTCTCTTCCAACCCAGAAATGAAAGAAAGCTCATTAATGAAAAGAAAAAGTGGTTGGGTTGATATTTGGTTGTAATATCAAGTCATATTTTCCCATTGCAATGTAGGGTGTTTTTTTCTTTCGTGTGTGTGGGTCAAGTCATATTTTCCCATTGTATGTAGGGTGTTTTTTTTCTCATTTGTCTCTGTTTGGGGGGGTGGCGGGGGGAGGGTGTGGATTTGCATGTGTCTTGTTCAAATGATAAAAAATTATTTAGATTCACAAAGGTAAGGTTGCGTACATCATATCATTATTATTAGACTACATTTGTAGGTTTAAAATTATATATAGATCTCACAATAATTGCTAAGCCCGTGGAGATTGAGGTTCTACGTACTTTTGAATTTCACTTTGCTCGTACCGGATACGAGTAAAATTGATCTTCGCATTGAACTTTAAGCGCTAGTTGATTCTTTTTCCATTGAGTTGTTGGGGTTGTATATTGTACTATTTAGATCTCACAAAGATAGAGGTATTTTTGAGATCTCATTGAATATGCTATCGCTGATGATAAAAAATTGTACTTAGAAGACATGTTAAAGTTCTTTTCCAAGCTTATTCAATCAAAAAGACAAAAGGATGTAGCACATGTAGAAAGCAACAAGCAGTGTGTATGTACTTTGAACATTGATTCTTTTTCAAAGTAAAGTGTGTCTATGAAAAGGAAGAAACAAAGAAAGATGTACTATATTTTATACTAATAATTACATATTGATGATCTATATAAACATAAAAGTAAAAAATATGTCTTACTTCTACATTTTCATGACCTATCAATTTAAGACACCATTAAAATGGAAGCAATATATAGTATTATAATTATTTATCCCAAAATTAAAAATTCTAACTAAATATTGAGTAGAGTCCACATTTTTTTCTCCTATACCCTTGCCAAACAAACACTTACTAGTATTTTTTTTCATTCGGTGGTTGAAATTAAGGTTCGAATAACTTTAAATTCATATATTGTGAAGTTTATTTTTGGAGATAGCTATATATCATTGACTTTAGATTTTCATTAACAACATTGTGCATTACTCGACAATTCACTTATGGTTCTCGATCATTTTCAATACGAGATTGTTAAGGAAACACTTGATTGAAGAAAAATACAAGAAATTTTATGGTTAAAGTTTTTATATTATTCAAGATATGGTTGTGTATTGATTGATTCAATTTGGTTTCGGAGTTTATTGGTTCAACTTTATCGGTTATCGATTTGTGGACATGTTAAATCATTATAGAACCATTAAGATATTGTCTTATCAATTATCGTTTGTCAATTATTGATTGTTATCGGTTCGCTTCGATTTAGCCATTAAAATTTGACACCAAATTTTTTTTGAAAATCACTTAGAAATAAGGTGACAAACCAAATGAACCGTGCACATGAGTTGACATATTGCATCTTGCTCAAAAATAAACACTAGCATATTGTAGAATAACCAAAATTTTGAAACAACCAGAAATAAAAGTATGAAACTAAGTCATATGTCAAGGACTTTATAAAGTGAATGATATAAATATAATTAATTAATTTACGATCAGGTTACCAGTTAATCTGTTAAGAAAAATCTCAAGCCATTATAGAATCTATAATTCGATAATAAAAAAAATTAAAATTGTTACTAAAATCATAAATCAATAATCTATTATCGATAAATTAATAAAAAAAATTCAATTCAAATTATTGATTTGATTCAATTTTAAACAATCTTAACTCAAGATTTAAAAAAATTGCTTAATTGTGAAACCCTTGTGAGTGTGGGCGAAAAATCTCAACCATTCCGTCACAATTTGAGTGCACCTCTTATAAGTGTTGGAACTACTTTTCTCTGTTATTCCTTTTGTCATCTTCCTCACCTTTTCCTCTCTTTATCTTTACAAAAACATATTCCTTTTTCTTTTTTTTTCTCTCTATCCTTTCAAGGGAATTATGCCATGTAATTGTCCTGTAACTTTCAAAACCCTACTCCATTGAAGCAAAACAGTAAAAAGCTTCAAAACGCCGTCGTTACCTTATCAATGCACCGTTGAGAATCGAGATGATGAGATCACCTCAAGTTCGAAACGGCGTCGTCGAGACTCCGTCACCGTCGCACTTCCACTCCAGCGTATCCGTACACAAGCTCCGGCGATTCAACATTTTTATTGTCGTCTTCCGGTTTGCTTCCTTCTGCTTCTCTCTTGCCTCCGCTATCTTCATGTTCACCAATTCTCGCAGCGGCTCCGATTTGCCTCAGTGGCACCACTTCGATGCCTTCAGGTAATTATAGTAGTAGTTTTTTTGTTCTAATGGATTTCCTCCTCTCATCAGCAAAATCTTTCACGCGATTTAACTGTAAATTGATTACTCTGGAGTTGAAATTTGATGGATTTTTAGCTCACTTTAGCAAAAAATAATAATTGGAATACCGATAAAACGGCATCGTTGTAGTACTCTGGAGTTCAAATTGGTGATTCCTTTTGCTTTTACCGATAAACGCAACAATTTTAATACTCCGGAGTTGAAGTTTGATAGATTATTTGCTCATTATTTGCCCAAAAATAAAAGGGAAGAATACTAATAAAATGAAGTTGTTTATAGTACTACGGAGTTCAAATTAACTGATTTTTTTCCGGTTTTATACTGATAACCACGATGCTTTTGAGTATCCGGAGTTGAGAGTCGATGAAGTTTTAGTTCTCCGGCGTTCAAATTCGCTGATTCCTTTTACTGTATAGGTTTGTGGCTGTTGCCGGTGCAATTGTTGCCTTATATTCACTCTTCGAAGTAGGAGCATCCGTTTGGGAGATTTCAAGAGGCGCTACTGTTTTCCCTGAAGTCGTTCAAGTTTGGTTCGATTTCGGCCACGATCAGGTTCGTAAATCCTTCACTTTAATGGCGGTCATTTAGCTTTTTTCTGCAGAAATTTGTGAAACTCCAAGTTAATGTTGCCTCATTTTGAGTGGAATTTCAATTTTTCGAGTTTCATAACTGAATTATAATGACATTTGATGTAGCAAAAGAGAACAATTTATCTGGCTCAGTCAAAAAACTCTCGCTAACTTGATAGTTTAGGTATGAAATTTGAAAAAAATTGAATATTTTGAATGTGTTTTTGATTATTAGCTCTCTTTTTTACCGGTAGGTATTTGCGTACCTGTTGTTGTCGGCGGGATCGGCGGGAACGTCATTGGCTCGAACTTTGAAGGAGATGGACACGTGTACGGTTAGCAATGCATTCTGCGTTCAATCAGATATCTCAATAGCCTTTGGATTCGCCGGATTCTTGTTCCTGGGCTTTTCTTCACTCTTGTCGGGTTTCCGGGTTGTAAGTTTTATTATCAATGGTTCTCGATTTAATGTTCAAAATTAAAAATAAATTAATATTTTTAATTTATTTTTTCTTCACGTCAATTATAGTTGATAATTACTAAAATTTGACCAAAGATGCGTAAACAAAAAGTTGAGTGGTGTGGCTATAATTTTATTTATTTTTTCTCATTTGATGTTTGATACTGCATGGAAGCTCAATTGATTCGAATTTGTATTGAATAGCTCCCATTTGGGGGGAGCACACTTCATTAAAGATTTTCATGTTCAAGAATCAAAATCGAGATCTTTGATTAAAGAAGAAGCAATCCATTGCGACATCCTTTGGTGGTGTGGATATGATATCTTTGCTACTACTAATTTTCTTATTCTATGTTAATTCACAATAATTAGAGATGTAGCAGATACCTTCTCAGACTTATTCAGACACATTGATTATTTTAAAAGTTAGGAGTATCTCAAATAATAATATTTAGACGTCTTAAATATATTTTTGGCATGAAGTAAATATAAAATACTATTTTATTTGTAAAAAACAATAAAAATATCTTTTAAATCATTTTTGGTTCATGGATGACAGTATGAGTTCTGGAAGATTGACAATAATTCTACATTTGACTAAGCTGTTAAGCAAGTCATGGGGAATGAGAATTTAAGTCGTCAAAGACGACCAATTATCCCTAGAAATTTTGTAAGCTTTGAAATTTCACTTTTATTTTCAACCACCATTATTTCTGAGAAACAATTGACGCTCCTTTGGTTCAAGACCTAAAGTATAATCAAATGAAAAGAATATTTCAGAGATTACAAAAGATATTAGCAAGTTAAAGAAATCTGGTTAAAGCTTATAACCATTTGTGTTGTTTACCAAACAAAGTAGTTAAGCCAAAAAGTGCTTACCACTGAACCTCTAGGCCCAGACCCAACAACAACATACCCAGTAATATTCCACAAGTGGGTCTGGGAAGGGTGAATTGTACACAACCTTACCTAAAAAGGTAGAGGTTGTTTCTGATAGGTCTAACCCGATTATCGGCACATTTCCTTAAGAATAATTGCAATAGATCAAGAGCTATCAGGTTCACAAAATAGGAGAGAACAACTAAAACTTCGACTTTCTCAGACCAAATATCCGATCTCATAATATTCAGGCAAGAACTGGCTGGTGATAATAAACGATAAAAATGAAATTCATTTTGAGCTCATTAAAAGTTACTACTCACTATGGGGATCATCAGAATCAGTTAGTTGCCCAAGTACTTGGGATCAGCCACTACATAATGATAAGCAATAACAAACACGAAAATAAAGATACCAAGAAAGTTAGCAAAGAATCCTAAATCTTGATCATCCATTATCTGCAAGACAAAGTTGAAGAGCCAACAGTTAGAACCAAATGAAAAGTATTACATTGGTTTAGTAACACAACAGTAAAGTCTGCAAGAACAGCTTTACGATTTCAGAGAAATAAGGTGCAAGACAGAATTCCTTTACAACCACAAACTGAAAAACATTGAAAATGAAATAGATGCTAATTGATAGCCCATTCACGAAAGCTATTGAACTAAAACACAAAAGTTCAGTTCCTGCAATGATCTCTAGTTTTTCATCAGTCCCATTATCAAGTTACCAGGTAAAATGAATAAAATATTATCATGAGACGAGCAACATTCGATTCTTTTTGGAGTTAGAATATTGGTATAGCACAAAACAAATATTAAGAATTCCAACCCGTCTACGCAAAACTACATTATCTTTTTGTTTCTCTAATAAGGACAAGGTCTAATGGAATAATCTTGATTTCCTATGCTACATAGTTTTTTCGTGTATCTTATTTGTTTGAAATTGAGTTCAATTGATTTGCTTATCGCCCTACATTCAAAGGTTGGGTTATTTTTAGGGGGTCATCGACAGTACATCCCCTCCCTCCTTGTATAATCAATGTTCTGATGAGAGTACAAGTTGCTGAGCAAGTAACTGAAAAGCAATAAGTGAACAATTACATCAACGATCAATGACAGTTTTAGAGTTAACGAATCATGATACTACGTTGTTTTCATTAACAATTAAGACACACAACCTCAAGGTATTGTCCTCCTCTTTCCACTAGAGAAAAGGCTCATTGGACAAGTTAGGTACCTATACTACGCACAGCATTTTGTTCAGCTCTATACACATGTTTCACAATCTAGAACCACTTTGATACTTTTAAAATTCTCTGTCTTAATGTACCTTATGCATCTTCCATAATCAGACGTCAATCCTACTGTAACAGCCTAAGACTTCTGTAGGGAATGATTAAATCAAATTCACAAACCTAGCATCATGGTAGACATACTTAATGAAAATGTTAAGGTAAAGTTGCTCCTATTCCTTCAAATACTCAAGTAACACCCTAGAAATTTCCATGTACTTCCCCCCTAGATAAAGTAAAGGAAGATTATTGCAACATGTGACAGTGACACAAACAAACACCTAAACCAATAGAACAGAAAAAGGAAAACTTAGCCTCTTATTTCACTCCACAAGCATCTCTCATGCGGAGGCAATGATTATAGGAATAAAACCATTAATCAAGTGAAAACCAACATGCATTTCCAATAGAAATATCTTGATGGCATAATTTACCCATATCATGCCCCCAAATCAAAACAAAAATTACTTAGCAGGAGCACCAAGTTCATAACTAAATGCATATGCAGTGGAGGCAGCTCATAACAATCTCTCAAACCAACTGCCTCAAGCTTATATCTCCAAAGAAACAAGTAAAACCTCTTTCGAATTTTATATTAGAAAAACTTCATTCCATTAAGCAATTTCCAAAAACCAAACACACAAATATGAAACCAAGAAAAACAAAACAGGTGCAAAAGAAGGCATGAAGCAATCCCAGTGGGATTCAAACCCACAAACTTTAGATCATAAGTCTAACACAATATCCACTCCACTGTGAGATCACTTGTTACCATCTTCTCCGTTCCCTTATACATATCAGTACTACTCTTTCCTCTAACATTGAGAAAGACAAAAGAGCAGATAGCAAAAGCAACGGTTCTGAAAGAATCTAACTAACCTAGCGTTTAACCATAAATTTACTTAAAACTTGAAAAAGGAATGACTTTTGGAACTTGAAGTTGTGTTTGGACATAAACTTTCGACTTAGAAAAAAGTTGAAGTTTTGTAAGTCAAAATGAAATTTCACCGAAAATCATGAACAAACAATGCATTCAAACAAAAATTTGAAAATCTACTCCCCAAACAGGAACCAAGTATATGTAAACTCACACCAATCTCCAAAACCAAACACAAATTATGAAACAAAAAAAAAGTAGGCAGTGATCACAGTGGGATTCGAACCCACGACCTTTAGATTCGGAGTCTAACGCGATATCCACTCCGCTATGTGATCACTTTGTTACCATCTTCTCCATTTCCTCATAACTATCCTTTACCAAAATTTCCACTACCATCGAAAGGGACAAAAAAACTCATCAGAAATGGGTACCACTTCACCGATCAAAACTCCATTCATGTACGAAGCAAACAAAATCAAAATCAATGACGAAAACGACACACAGAACAACAGACAACAAAACCAAACTTTTCCAACAATTGAAATCATGTAAATCCAGATCTATACATAACACACAAAATCATAGAGTTGTAAACATCAAAACTGAATTAAAAATATGAAACTGTATAAATTCAATAGATCGAGATCTGTACCTTCGATTGATTAATACGTCGAATCGGATTTGTTGAAAAAAAATAGTAGCCTGCTGTTCGAACTGATCGCAGAGAGAGAGATTAAAAAAAAAGTTAATAATGGGATTTGGGTTTTATTAAAGTATCCAAGTGAACCAAAAATACGAAACTGAAACCAAAAAAAGTAAAAGTGAAATGTGGCTGCTGGGATTCGAGCCCAGGTCTCGACGGCCACAACGTGGAATTCTTACCACTAAACTACAGCCACTTCATGTTTCCATAATAACACGAGATAATTATATTTCAATTTATTTCTTAATTTAATTGCTATCATTATAATTTTTTGGATATTCCAAATAATCCTAAGATTAAATTATGGTGTCATTTAATTTGTTATTTGTAAGTTATCCCAAGCTAACGCTTGGGTGGTATAGTATTCCGGGATAATTTATCCCTTGGTTGGACATAAAATATCGAAAAATGAATTACCAAATCGAATCAAATTTCTTGGTAATTTGATATCAGGTAATTCGTATTGGTGTGGTATTCGAGAGTAGACTTTTAGAATTAAGGTATTTGAGTTTGGTATAAGACATTAGAATCATTTAGTATTCGATATTTTTCCCGAACACAAAATTATTTACTTAATGAATGTCATATATTAACAGGCTCATAACTCATTAGTACAAGTTCAAAGAAAATGTTAAATACTAAACACAGACAACTTGAATACATATGTCTTTTAGTTGTGTTAATTTAATTTTCTTGATGTAGTCTTACTTGTCGATCTTCTATTATATCATGCATCCACATAGAAAATAGAAATAATTGGGGCAATAATATTAACTTTGTAATACAATCAGCTACAAATTCAATACAGTATTATCGAATACAATACCGAATTGAAGTTTGATTTATCAATTACCGAATCAAAATTTAAAATTTTGGTATTTGGTATCTACTTTTAACTACCAATTACCGAATTATTGAATTCGAAATTTAGAAATTTCAAATCGAATATCAAACGTCGCCGCTACTTATCCCGGAATAAAATAGGCAAATTACAAAAAAAATCTCTTTAAATTCTTTTTATGCATCATTTTTCTCATTTATGAAGGTATTTTTATAAATAAATAACTTGTTCTTAAAATATATGCAATGTATATTATTTTGAACACAATAAATTAAACACTCGATATAAAATAATCTCAATACACTCAATTTTCCATGCTATCCCTATAAACAAGTAAAAGTCAATATTAACATTTTTTTTTAGTTAGTCTTAATAGTTTAATGGGAAAAATTATATTTTGAGTAGATACTTGTTCCTTCTTAATTTGTAGGTTCATTCTAGATAGTATATCAATCTTTTTTTTTTTCATCTTTTTGTATCAGTTAAAATCATAATATTTGAGGCTCGATAGTAAAATACATGATAATTGAATTAGAAGTTGAGATTATAAAGAGCATATCGCTAGTAGAAAGTGAAATCAATAAAATTAATTTAAATTTTTTGAATCTTGTAATTTTCAATGCATCATGTATAATGTTGGATATAAAGAACGATTGTATATAAATTTAAAAAAATCTAATTTAACAAATTAAAAAGAAAAATAAGATAATTTCAAATTTGGCACTGTGTATAATCCCTTCCCAAACTCCTATAACCATCCACGTAAACTTAAAAATCTCACAATCTGGATTGTTACCGTAAGTTTATTAAAAGTGAGATCACAATTATTTGCTAATAAAATTTATACTCAAAGCTCGATCTTAAACTTTTTAGTTAAGGATGAAATTATTCTATGCATCGCATCATAACATTAATTAGTAGATTGTTTGGTTGCCGCTTAAAGTTACGTATGAATTAGTTATGTAAAATTTCTTTATTCACGTATTATTTATCTTCTATATTGATGTGTTGAATTTTATACATAATAACTAAAATACTATTTTCTTAATCTCAATTTATGTAACACAATTTCTTTTTTTTATTTTGCTCAAAAGAAAGTATCACCTCTCAATAATTGAAAATAACTTAAGTTTAAAATGGCTACTATTCTTAGGTATGGTTTGACTGAATACAAATTGTGATGAGATTAGTTATGAACTTTATTGTCCTTCAAAACTTTTTTATATTTTTTCCACCATAAAAGTGATGAGTATCTTTGTAAATAATTTTTTGAATGCAACACATACTATTTTTAATGCATTAAAATAATCTATGTGTAATTAATCCAAGCATAACCAATACATGCATTGCTTACACTCTATTTAGTATTATTCTTATACAGTCTACCAAACGACCCCTAAGTATTTTTGTGTGTGCATTCTCACAATGGTACAATATATATTTAAAAATAAAATTTTCTCCTTATTTAGTATAAAAATAGAACTTTCATCTTAAGTTTGTCAGTAAAAGAGGATTTATGAGAAATCAAATCAAAATAAAGATAAACATAAGAATTGGTCAAATAAATTCATAAATAAAAATTATATTTACATAGTGTAATCTTTTAATAGAAAAAGTTGAAGGACTATCTAATAATGAGTGGTGAAGAATGTGAATGTTATTATACGTGGTGTTAAAAATAACGTAAAAATACATGAATATGAAAGTGATATACAAAAAGGGTTTAAAATGATATATTTGTCATTCTACCTATTTTATCTCTGAATAAGGTATCCCGAGATTACTATACGTCTATACCACCCAAGAGAGGAATAACTTATTCCATTACTAATTATTAATCTCGAGATAAGTTATTTCAGACATGTCAACCAAACAACAAATTAAATGACACCATGATTTAATCGCAAAAGTATTTAGTGTTATCTTTTACGCCAACAACCCTTAGTGAAATAATTTAAAGTCACACAAATATTTAAACTTTATTTTAGAACAAAATACTTAAAAGTCTCTTTTTAAAAAAAAATAAAAAAATGTACCCAATCAAACGATACCAGATAAATTTAGATGTGACCAATCAAATACTATGTTAGCTAAGTACATAGCTAATGTTGTTTCGTTCTAATCGGAAAGATATTGTTTACGTTAATGAAACGTAACCAACGTGGCATATTAATTACAATATAGTACTTAAATAATATTTAAATTTCATTAAAAAAATTAATTAAACATTCTGATACATTTTATTTATTTTAATTTTATATTATGAAAAATATATTTTTAAAAACTTGTATTAAATTAAAATTAAAATTAGATAAATAAATTGAAAACAAAAAAAATTACATATTTATTTATTTATTCAACCAGAAAACTTCAGATTTTTTTTAACTACCCAGCAATTAGTTAGAGCTCCCCACCATCTACCCAATTTCTGTTGGGTTTTATATATCTCTTCATTTTACACTAAGCTTCATCATTTCCCTCAAGATTTCAATATTCACTTAGGTAATGCAATATTTTTTTGCTCAATTTTCTTTTTGAGAAATAATAGATTCAGATCTGTTGTGGGGTCTTTTTAGAGTTGCTCATAAGCTTTGATTTTTTCACTTTTTTTCTTTTTATGTTCAAAGATCACTTTTTTATCTCTCTAGTTGGTATGTTTGGTGTGATTAGAGATCTTGAATCTTGATTTTACGTGTTTTATACGCTAATTTTGTTTTGAATCTATATGATTTTTAATCTATAAATTCATGTATTGAACTCATACTTGGTATTATTTCTGTTTTACATTAGCATTTAGAGACGACCAGGTGATCCGAAAATTGTATTTTTCTTTGTTTTTGCTGAATATGGAATCAAGTTGTTAGCTTTTAAATGAAATTTGATCTGGGTGTGTTCATTTTCTGGAAAATTTTGCTTCTTTTGAAATTTGATTTGGGTTTGTTGTTAAATTTATTGAGGGGGAAGGGGGAGGGGGAGATATCTTCTTGCTATTAGAAATTGTGATTGATCTATAAAGAGGATCCACCACCTTTGGTGAAGGGGTGTGGTGGAAGTGGAATGTTAAAGGTTCTTACTTTTAATCAGAGGTCGCGGGTTTTGAGCTTTGAAATGGAGTTGTCTTAGGTTGGGAAACTTAATGCAATGTTGGGTTTTTAACGGGGTTGATCCGGATTAGTCGGACTAGAGGATCTTGAAGAGGAAAAATTCATTTTGCTGACACCAATTAATTTGTGAAGTGAGGACTGGTTGAAGTAAGGGGCCCCATTGCCGAAAATTTACAATGCGTGTATATGGTCAAATTGTTTAAGTATGTATTAGATGTTGGATCCTCTTAGCTTCTTTATGTGTTTACTTTTGTTACTTTTTGGATCCCCTTGGTGGAAGTCCTGCTTCCACATTATGGTGGTTGTATTATTAATATGTACTGTCTATTGGAGAAGTCGATAATCCTTTTTGTGCACGAGTATTAATTTTGTGGTAATCTTGGTTTGCTCTTAGTTAGCTCGGTCGTAGATTGTGACAGTTTGCTTGAATCTTATGTATTTTTTGGTTCTGAACTTTTGATTTGGTCTCTGGTTTAGAAATTGAATTGATCTAGAAATGGCTTCCAATGGAGACAACAATGCTTCTGCAAAACCTCCTCCAGAACCATCACCATTGCGCAAAGCGAAGTTTTTCCAGGTACGGTAGAAATGGCTCTGATGAGTTTTTTCATTTGCTGCTTATAACTTGATCTTGTGTTTTTACTATTTGTCATCTTTGAACTTTATGATTACAGGCTAACATGAGAATTTTGGTGACGGGTGGTGCTGGATTTATTGGCTCTCACCTTGTTGACAGACTGATGCAAAATGAGAAGAATGAGGTACATACTTTAAAGTTTAGGCCTGGCTTCACATCATATGTTCCACTTAGAAAAACGGATCCAGGATTTGAAGTTTACGTGTTTCTACTGTAACTTGGTTCACAAACAAATATTTATCGATATTTTATGGATTTCTGTGTATATATATAGTGTATGGTGGTAAAAGCTACTTAGTTCACGTGAACCCATCAGTGACCATCTAGATTCGCCCCTGCCACTAGATACTAGCACACAGAGGCGTATCTAGAGGGGGTGCCGTGGGTTCACGTGAACCCATGCTCCCCTCTCTAGATCATATATAGTAGTAGTTATAATTTTAAAAAAATATTTAAATATAAATGTGTGAACC